AGGAATGCAGTGAGCCGTACACACAGTGCCATCGCTTACCTGGTCCCCACCTGACAGCTCGCGTCTGAAGACCCATCTAACGTTCACACGGAAAGGTACAGCCTGGCCAGTCTTTGCCGCAGCTCAGCTTTGGTTGAAAGGCAATCTGCACTGCTGCACTTTCATTATTATGGTAAACTGCCGCTGCCTTGTAATTAGTAGAGCCTGCAAACCACAAACTACCCTTGATGAAGCAAGAAGCTCTCAAAGGTGCTGAAAATACCACCAGTAAAATAAATCATAGCAGTAGTTTACAGAAGGAGAATCCAACATCAAGGAGCATCTTCACTTGACTTCTAGCTGCTGCCCCTGATCTGCTCAGATCACTGGCCATTACCACCACCTGCAATGACCCCCTCCTTGCCTTCAAGACCATTACTAAAGGTCCTTTTGAAGAGCTGCACACAACTCCCAGTAAAACCTTCCTGACCACTCCAGGTTTCTGACCCTTTTCCAAGGCTCAGACAGCTCTTTTGTTGCTGATTAATGGCATCACTTACCCCTCTGTAGAGATTTCTCTCCCCATCACAATTAATCACAGCAACACTTCTGCACGATTGATCGTTCCTCGTGTGCCTCAAAAATCTCGGGCTGTCAGAACCCTCTTCGCTAAACTCGTTTCCCTGTCTAGAGTAATATTCATACAAGCTGTAACACTCAAGTCTCTCCTCCAAAGCCGGTACAACACTCTTCCACAAGCTGTGAAATCAAAGCCAAAGACAACTGTTACGGCAACGACAGCCACGCATCCTGCTGACCTGCTTCAGTTCCTTCATCTGCTCTGGCCAGCTGATCTCTTGCTTATAACTCTGCAGAGTAAATTAAAGTTACAGCCAAACAGTGTTATATCAGAACAGTCAGAGGGCATGATTATATGAACCGCCAACACGACTATCACCCCCCCTTACCAGGCTGCAGCTTAGATTGTGGATGGGTCCTGATCCCCTAACAATTACCTTGACACGAGAGTTTTAGGCTTAATTCTGAGGCAGTTTTAAGGCTAATTTACAAAATTAAACAAGCTCACATCTCAGTTTTGAAAGCATTCTGGACAATATTTTGAGGAAAAAATCTCCCAGCTGATACAGCCTACCAAAACAGGAGGAGAGGAGACTTTATCTTTAAAGACTTGCATGAAAATAAAGCTAATTACACCAATGGACTTCGTAAAATGGAACAAACAATTGTAAAAAGAAATAATGAAATAGTAAAGCAGTAACAGAGTCATTTACCATCTTTTCATCAGAAAACAAATGAAGTACTGAAAATATATTCAAGAAAAATATTTGCGTTTTACTGAACCCTGTCATGTCTATCACTGTGAAGCACGCTACTTTAAGGGCCTCAAAATTAGTTACAAGCGAGAATGAAATGAAAGGCTCTGTCTTCAGTTTCAGTCATGCTTCATGATCTTGGCTAGCTATTCCAGTCAGAAGCAGGTTTTTTTAATATATATAAATTTATATATATATATATATATATATATATAGATGTTGTGCTCAGATGCTCGCTCGCTCCCCTCAGCAGGGTGGGGGAGAGGATTGGAAGGGGAAGCCCTCGCCAACCTGCCCCCAGCTTTATATACCGCGCATGACGTCACACGGTATGGGGCATCCCATTGGCCAGCTGAGGTCAGCTGTCCCGGCTGCGTCGCCTCCCAGCTTACCCTGCAGCCCCAGCCCGCTGGCTGGTGGGGCGAGGAACAGAAAATGCCTGGACCGTGCGTAAGCACTGCTCAGCGATAATGAAAACGTCGCTGCGTTATCAACGCTGCTTCCAGCACAAATCCAAACACAGCCCCACAGGAGCGGCTGTACAGAAAATTCACTCTGCCCCAGTCAAAACCAGCACAACAAAACAGAGTCATTTCGCTTGGAAGGGACTTACAATGATCATTTAGTCCAACTGCCCGACCACTTCAGGGCTAAATTTATTTTTTTTCCAGGTAGAAGTCCTAGTGCAAGCATATAAAACAAAAAAAAAAAATTAAGCCTAGTCTATTTGTTCACTCCAGCATCCCACTAACGAGAACAGAGCTATACTGACAGGGTGAGGACAGCTTGGACAGCCCGGCTACGCCAGCAGCGGCTGGTTGGAGGGTGAGGTTACATCCCCACCCTCGCACGGTCGGCTAATCCTACGGTCACCATGCTATAATGGCCCCAAACTAGCAGCTTTTTTAGCAAAGCTGGTTGTCTACCAAGTAAGCTCCCTGCTCCAGGTCACCACAGGTCAGACAAGCACCAGGACAAAAATGGTGACAACGCTGGACGGCTGGAAGCAGAGGTGAAGCAGCTTTTTGACAAAGCCAGCTCTTAGCGGGGCTGTGCCGTCACGGCAAGTGCCCCCTCGGTCCCAGATCCCACTCCGGTCAGTCTCCACAGTGGCAAACGTGGGCTGGGAAGCGGCGTTTAACAGCGTTTTCTGTGTATTTGTAGGGTGCTCAGACAACGGGAAGTCCTCGCCATACAGACATTTCTGATTTTCAAAATACAAAGGAACACAAAAGCAGGAAGGAGGAGAGGGAAAACAACAGCAGGTGGGAACGGCAGAGCGCACAGAGGAAGGAAGAAGCGGACAACGGGAAAATCAAGGTTATTTTGGCAATGAGAAACACCAGTCCAGGACAAGGATAAAAGGTAGACTAAGGCAACTAAACAGAAACTAGAAACATAATATAGATCAGAAATAAATGTTTCTTCTTCATCCCATTCTGTAACTTTGGTTCAAAAGCTACCCCTACCAGCTCATTAAACACCAATTAGCACACAGGTTCATCAGCACTGCCTTCCATTAAAGCACTGCAACGCAGTGAAGGCAGGATTCTTCAGCTCGTACGAAGCACATAACCAAGTGGTGAGACTGCCACACGTTTTGTATTATTTTCTTTCAGACAGATTTGCACAGAAGCTGAGACTCCTCTGAATTTTGTCGTAGTAGTATCTCTCCTGCATTCACCCCACGGCTATTTGACCCACTACAAGGAAAAGTCTTGATGATTCACCTCTTATGAAGAATCTGTAGAATGTGCACTAATGAACAAGTTTTACCAGTAACTGGTAGGGAAAAAATTCAGATTATGAAAATAATTGTTTATAATGGTAAAAGTATGTCCTTTTTCATGCCCTCCCACACCCCCCCTTTCATTTTAACTACAGCCTATGGAGTTGGGCCACATAGAGAGAGCCAAGGACCACAGAGGTCTCTTCAAAAACCTCCTTCAGATAAAACCCCCGTGCTTGAAGTCCCCAGCTCTACAAGCTGCTCCAGTCGTGAGCCCCCTTCTCGCCTGTGCGGATGCCCGTGCACCCCAACAGCCTCCCCACGGCTGCCAGGCGACCACCCCCGCCCCCGCGCGCG